GTCAGGGCGGGGCAGCAAACAGAGTCAGTTAGCCCAGGGCTCAGGTCCTCGCAGCAGGCCGAGCAATAACAAAGCCAGCGAGCCCAGACCCTTTGGCAGGGAGGAGGAGAGACTGCCACCCGGCGGGGGGGTGGCAGGGGGGAACACAGGCCCACCCACTCCACTGTGTTCCAGCCCGGGGCCCTATCCGCAGCAGACCGTCTGCCACGGCGTCAGTGGGGATCCTGCCCGCAACACACTGACATCGGTTCGGGGTCTGCGATCCCCGGGCCACTTCCCATCTCCTCCTCCTCCATGGGTACCTGCTCCTCGCTGGGCTCGGCAGCGGGGTCCCACACCATTGGCTCCTCGGCTTGTTGAGGGCTGTCTAGGTCAGGCCGCTCCTCCGGTCTCGGGTCAGGGGGACGCTCGGGCTTCTCCTCGGGGTACCGCGCTCGGGGCAGGCTCGGCCAGTCCGCTTCGGGGTACCGCGCTCGGGGCAGGCTCGGCCAGCCTACCTCGGGGTACCGGGCTCGGGGGAGACTCGGGCCGTCCACCTCCGGATATCTGGCTCTGGGGAGGCTTGGTCCGTCCACCTCCGGATACCTGGCTCGGGGCAGGCGCGGTCTAGTAGGAGCCCGAGCAGGAGCGTCTGGCCTCTCCGGCCGCTGGGCTCCAACTGAGTGCTGGGGCTTGGCTTTTATACTTCCTGTCCCGCCCCTTGACTTCCGGGGGGCGGGAACAGGGGCCGGTGGCTCCGCCCACTTCCGGGGGGCGGGAACAGGTGCCGGCGGCTCCGCCCACTTGGGTGCCTGTTCTGGCTCCTCCCCCTCAGGGGCCGTCGGGTGCCAGGCCGAGTCACTACAGGGACCACTTGAAGATCAGACTATTATGCAAAGGTTTGCCATAGTAATAATAGACTATACTTCAAAGTGAACATAAGTTCCATTCAATGGAAAAGTTACCAGTGAAACAGTGATTAAGTTCATATCATCAATCTTCACTCAAAAAGGATTTCCCATGGAACTGGTAATTGACAACTGAATGCAATTGGCCTCTGCTGAAATGTAACAATTCCTCAGTAGCAATGGTATCAAGAACAAAACGGTTTCTTTATACCATCCAAGAGCAAATGGTGTAGTCAGGAGAATGTACAGACTGGTGAAAGAAAGTTTCAATTTACCAGTTTGCAAGCAAGACCATGGGAAGAAGCTTTATGTGAAACAGTTTGCTTACAGGACCATTCCACACTCCACATCAGGAATATCACTCTTTGAACTATTAAGAGGATGCCAGGCCGATACATGACTTACTCCTGTCAAACGCTTACACTTTCTCCTTTTTCGGCCATTACCTTCCAATGAAGCTATTCATGAATGTGTTAAGAACAAACAGGAGAAACATACACAGTATGTAGATCACAGCTTCTGACTGATCACTTGATATTTGCCCTGTCCGCTCATACAAAGCATCTGGCATCACCCATTGTCAAAAGGCAGGATACTGGGCTAGATAGACCATTGGTCTGACCCAGTATGGCCAGTCTTGTGTTATCGTAAGGAAAGGTGCTAAACCTCAAGTTTCAAACTGTGGATTTTGTGAAGCTGCCATACAAAGTCAAAAAAGGACATTCAAGATATTCATGTCCTTTTCAGTTAACAGAAATCCAAGGAGATTCTGCTTTATTAATAGATGGAAAGAAATGGAATATTTCAAGATTGTCCACAGTTCATCAGCTGAAGAAGAGAATGCCGATTTCCACCTTGGACCAGAGAACATCACTGACACCATTATTGATGATGGGAAATCTATAGTAGCAGGAATTGCTCCAGTGCCTCATCTTGTTCCTGCCTCTGCAGGTATTAGGAGAAGTGTGAGATGTAGGAGACTGCCTAAATGATTGGAAGACTTTGGTACCAGATGCAAGTGATGGTTTATAAGTGACTATTTAAAGTTTTACAATGGTTATTCTAAAGGGGAAGAATGTGTTGTATCTAGCTAGGTGCTGATAGCTACCCCAGTTTGTATTTGTAAGGCTGTTCCTAGGTGGTTCCCGAGAGTCAGGTGTCAGGAGGCAGGCGAGGTCAGGTTACCAGGAGATAAGCAGCAGGTATTGCAGGGGGAGTAGTACTGAGCAGGGAGAACCCAGTTGCATGGACAGCTTCCTGTGCCTGTGCTTGGATTAAATAGAGGCTGGGGACCTATCAGATCCCAGGACTGGGGTCCTCTGTTAGAGTTCACCTGCTAGAATAGCAGATGTTAGTAGGTCAGTGGGTGGCAGGTTAGGACTACCTAGTTCTTAAAAGCCATGTAGGCCAGTGTTCAAGATCTGTGGTCCCTGACAAGGAGAGTCTGGCCCACAGCATCTTCCTTACATAGAGGTTATGGAACTTGTGTGAGAACACAGCTGTTCACTGAAGATCTTTGATCCTCTTTTTTAATATCTTACAAAGACTGGTAAAATGCCCATTTCCTTTTTATCTAATTAACTAAAGAGAAACATTTGTACCATTTATACATAAAATTAATTTATTTTGACAATAAATTATTGTACTTCAGTCTGGCATCCTGCTGCTAGCAGTACTATCATCAAAGTAGGAGATACTAAAGACACTGATCATTACATTCACATGAGGTCAGACAAACAGATTTTTTCCAAACAATGGAGCTTAACAGAAATTTGGAACTTTATGTTCAAAGGCACCTGGATCTGTTTGGTGGTACAAACATATTTCAGATAGTAACAGGGGGCCTTCCCCAGAGGCCTAAAGACAGCCAGCCCTGTTCTCTAATCAGTTGCAGCTGAGATGTTCCCTATAAAGAGCTTCAGGAAAAGGGGGAAGGACTGTCTCCTGCAGTAGTCCCTGGAGAAGTGAGATTCCTGGTGAGAAGCCCTGGCAGTTGTGGCTGGGTAGAAAGCCCCAAATGGAAGTTTTTTTCTTTTTGTGAGTTTGTGGTCATTTGGACAATAAATGGAACCTAGAGGGAAGGGCTAAATACGCAGTTAGGTGTGGCTGATAATTCTTCAGGCTGGTGAGGAAGGTTGCCAGCTAACATAGGTAGTTTAACTGTCTAAACTGCCTCCAAACAGGTGCTTTCCACTATCTTGAATGATGTTATTTTAAGTAACCATACACTAAGCTCTATTTGGGGTGCACAACAGGTTATTTGCAACCATATATACATTTGAGAATTCTACTCTTAAAGACTTGACTTCAGGAGATGGATGCTACTCACAGCAGTGTAACTACTAAAACTTTGTTCTCGCTGTACAAGCTTATTGTGCCAGGTCCTGAGCCAACACAAAGCAATGAGAAAGATGCCTTATGGGGCAGCCAGGTATTGCTGTGACGTAGGGGAAGCCATGGGTAATGTAAAAGCCAGTGTATCTGACTGTACACTACCTATTCTTCCCCTTCCATGTAGAGGTTGGGAAGGGCACGTGGGAGGCATGTCAGGAATGAGTCTAGAGTGCACAGAATTCTGGCCAATACTTGGCTGCCAGAGCGATCCCTGTGGCTGGCAGAATGCTGCTACAAGTTACAGGGGAGGCCATTTTGTCCCTCACCAGCTCTGGACTGGAGGAATGGAAAGGTGACTTAAAGCTTCCTTACCTCCCCCACTCCTTCCTCCACTCCTGAGCACAGCTGAGCATCTAGCCCTTTTTCCTGTGAACTAGATTGTTAGGAGGTGCCCATAGGAAGAACCAACATTTCTCATTACTCCATATACATGTGAGCTAGGTTTGGGGGGGCGGAATTGAGTTTATAACAGCATTGACTCATAATAGTGGTGTGAAAATACTTGAAATGGGAATTTTCACACACTGTCAATTTGAAATTGAGCTTCTCTGAACAAAAACGGAAACATGAGGGGCTTGAAAATTGCAAATTTGAAAACTAAACTTTTTGTTATGTGAAAAATAGAAATTTAATTGAATTTGCAGAAAAATGAAGTTCTTGGGAAAGACATGAAATTGCATGTAGTGGTAAAAATGTATTGTGAAATTTCATGGAAACACTTTTCTCACTTTCAGCTTATTCCATTAAAA